CCCCAAAACCCCAAAACCCCAAAACCCCGCTAGAGCTAATTTAGTATTCATTTATTCTTAATTCAAATAAGCTAGTCCATACATTAAAATCAAAAGGCTGTTGGATTATATAAGTTTAACTACTCTTATTCATTACTTTCTTTCAGGGACCTACTCAAGATTTGCGCTTTTAGATCCAGAATAGCCAGTAATATTTGGAGAAGTGCAGTTAATGTTTAAAGTATTCTTATTAGTGGTGCTTTCCCCATAATTCACTATTGAACTGGGATCATTATTAAGCTTCAAAGTATTTACAGTGTTGCTTGTACTTGAGGGTTAACTTCCCTTGCCAGCAAATTTCTTGGACATTTCTCTAAGTTCTAATTCCATTAAAGTAAGCTCCTCTTTCAAGGACCCTTGATCCTCAAAAGATTCTTCATTCAAGTTCTTTGATTTCTTAAACTTCTTTTTAATAATTGTTTTATCTTGTTGTTCTTATTTCCTCTTTAAGTTTTCTCTTGAGTTGTATAGAGATGATCTTTTATTTCTTAGATATATCAAATGTCTGAATTCCTTGATTATTCCATTCGAGGGAGAAACTTCAATTTATTACTATTGCATCGGAGAACCATTAATAAACTTATTCCTTCCTTCAATTATATTCTTGAGTTTTTATTTATTTTCCTAAAATGTTTGATCAGCATCCAATTAAGCTTTTTTCTAGGTATATTTAATGTTATTTACAACTCTATCTGCTTTCTCTTCAATGCTTTTAACAATCATGCTGTTAGTCTTGACAGATTTGTTATGCCTATCTCTTGATGATTAATATGAGTCTATAATTTTTATAGGCTTGTGATCAGTCATTACAGTCAAATGACCTTACTCAATGGATGATCTCAATGATATAGTAGGAAATTAAGGGGTATTCAAGTTCAACTAATCAAATGGAGCGTCATATTTTTGAAACTTATTCTTAATACTCTAAAGATTTTTTAATTTAGTTTTGTTCATATTGTCATCATAGTCCTCTTATTAAATACCAAAGGGTAGCTAAGATTTCGTTCTCTAGTGACTTCTATTGGGAGTATTAGAGACATTTTATAAAGTACTCTATAAATTTGAGAAATCAAATGCAGTTTTTTCCATTTAAATCCTCTCCTCGATCGGTTATAATGTTTCCTAAACCATTAATCTCAAAGATAGCTTTTGCTGTTAATCCATAATCGTCGACTTTTAGTCAAGAGAAGATAGTCTATTTTTGGAAATTAATGTCGATGTTTTGCCGTTAGATACTATTGACTTTTATTTCTGAAGAAATTAATCTCGTTACTATATCAGAGAATCCAATATTTATTATTTAGACTCTGATGAGAAGTCAATCATCTTAGACAATCTACGAACAGGTTTGACTTTTATTTTGGGGTTTTCAAAGTCTTTTCGATTTCCAGGAGATTCATTTATGGAGTCAGCTTTAATACTAGATGTGTGCTTGGATCTCTGTCCTATTCCTCGAGCTGTTCCTTTTTAACTTGGGCTCATTATGGAATCATATTCAGAGTTGCTCCAGACCTTAGTCTTTGTTTTCTTTTTCTTTTTCGAACTCAGTTCCAATTAGGGAATGATCACCTCTGTTTTCTTATGCTAGTATCTAGGCTCTCTCTGTGCTTGAAAGTCATGTCTGAATTTCTAAAGACCTTCAATTATTTTATCAAGTCTAGCCATTACTTCTGTCTGATTCGCTTGGTTTGTTGTTATCTTGAGGGCAACAGCTTCAGCCACTCCATCATTTAATAGCCTCTTAAACTGTTTCTAGCTCGTTTTATTCATGAGTATTCTACGAGTCTTCACCTCCTCGCTGTCTGAGTCTTCATTTTCATCTACTGGGAAATTTGTGTACCTTTTCAGGATGCTAACTCTACTGCTACCTCTAATGGAATTCATAGTTAACTTATAGTTATTTAATTAAGGTTATTTAAGGGTTATTAAATCAATTAAAAAAGTTACATGAATCAAATTTAATTAACAACACAATTAATAATATAATGCCAATAGTTGGATTAATTTTTTTTCTCGGTAATTTAAGTTTAATCATTTTTCCTAAAAATCATTCAATACTCTCTTAAAATATCACCTCTAACGTCGTTTATATTGACTTTACCGATTAATCTACTAGCTAGCTATTTCATTTCTTCATTACTCTCAATCAAATGATCCATCCTTCCTGGTCTCTATCCAGAATAATTACTCATCATTCCAGAGTACTATGATCCTCTCATCATTTCATCATACTGAAATATTTAATAATCATAACTAAACTTACCCCTTAATTCATGCCAGACAAAGGCTAGCCAAATGCACTTGGTCCAGTTTTATTTCTTTCCCTCATTGCTTTTTCCTCTTTTTCCAGTCTTTTTCTTAGAGAACCAGCAATTACTTCTTATAAATGAGGGAAATTGGTTCTGTTTATCCCAACATCAGGTGGATCGAAGATACCTGCTAGGTCTTTATCCTTGTTATATTCAAATAGCAGCATGAAGAAATCATATTCATGCATCAGAGGAGCTTTCTCTCTGAACAAAGTTACGATCTAGAGTACATTTTTACATCTCATAATTTCAGCTTTGAAATGAAAAAGAATGAGAGCAAAAGCTGTAAGTAGATCGCTTGCACTTCTCTGCTGCTTAATTAGTAATAAATCCCATAGTACACTAGTTGCTTTAACATTGATAAATCCAACTGACATTCTTTCAACAAAGCCCCTAAGCAATTCCCCAAAAATGACCTATTACTTAGTGAGAGTAAGATCAGCATTAGGAATATGCGTTATGTCTCCTCTTCTGACATTCAGCATCAGATCCATATAGTAAGTTTGTATCTCATCATCTTCAAAATCTAATAGATCTTTCAATCTCTTACCCATCTCCTGATCAATAATGCCAGCAATAGCTACTATGCCCTCAGTCATGTTTCTTACTAATCTCTCATACTCTCTTTCATCTCTTTCATAAATTTTAGGTACAACTTTTGAATAGATCTACTCTATATAAGTTATAAGGAAAGAGACCAAGTATTTCTGTCTCATTTTTGTATGAAAGTTTCTAAAAACAGTTAGAATTGGGATCATAAGATAAAAATATGATTCTGGAAGCACAGTCTTTCTCAAATGAGCTTATACGTAAATCATAGAATTCTTGAACACCATAAGTTATTCATAACTTTCATCACCTAATGGATGGAAGTTCATTCTCTAAAACAATTATTTAAAGAGACAATACAAGTATAGCTTGACAACTTTAAAGAATGAAGATATCATCTCTTGATATAGTATATGCTTTTTCTTTTTTAATGTTATATTCATACTCTCTGATCTAGATGCCATCTTAAAGTATGCCTCTCCAGACCATCTCACGCATGTGTGGACTTAGATACTTCAGAAAGAACTTAGAATAGAGGTCTCTGTTATTTTCAGCCCTCCTATCAATTAAATTTTCGAATATGTTGTAGTTGAGTTCCCATTTATTCACATTCATGTGCGACTTCTTGATGTCGTCAAGTTTTCTCTGCACTACGTTATTTATTTGCTTCTTCATCTCTTCTGTAGATTCAAGTGTATCAAATGCCTGAAATATTTTAGTAGTGACTTCACTCTATTGTGACTCCGCTAGATTGTAAAATCTGACTTGCTCACTGTAGAATTAATTTATAAGATGAAATAAAAATTTACTAATTCTTTTTCATAAATGTCTTTGTACCAATATAAAACTACCTTTTGATCTCCTAAATAATATAAGACTGAATTAATATACTGTACTTCCAGACTTTCAACCCCTTTTATCATTTGCTCTTCCATTTACCTAACCAGTTCATTTTTCTAAACTAATCGATGATCGTACATTTTACTATTTTAAATTAAGAAATTACAATTAAGGGAATTTTAATAGAATCATCTTATAAAAATTGATAAACTTCAGTTCATTCTCTTAATAGAAATAGTTCCTTTACTAATATACATCAATCTAAGTCAAACTTATCTAGCATGGCTTCTCAGCGTTTGGCTACCCCTGGTCTATTGGATGAAGCTTGACTTTGCAGCAAGGCCTCAATCTTGGAATCTTTAAGTTATAGTAACTGTTCAAGTTTCTTGATCTTTAAATCCATAATCTCAACTGTTTCTTTTAGTTCCTCAATCTACTTATCCTTTGATGTTATTTACTCCTCGTAGAAATCTATGTTGAATTACAAACCTCCATGCTTATTTGAATTACTGCCAGACCCAGCTGATAATTGTCAATCAATATAAATTACCTTTAGGATTATAATTAGAAGGTACTTGCTGAGGAGGAGGGCTTTTAAGATAACTTGCGATTTATAACTAGACCATTCGAAGTACGCGTTCAATGATTCCAGTCTCGCATTTAATGATAGCATCAAGATCTTCTTTACAAATCAAGAACCCCATTTTCTTAAATACTCTATTGCATTTATGAAACTTTTTATATACTTTGTATTAAGAGTAGTCCAGTTATATTCCTTCTATGAAACATTGCTAGTTCCATTATAGTTATGCAGTTCTACTAGTTTGGGGATGAAATGATGAACTATTTCAGCCATTAATACTAGAAAACCGCATTAAGAAATTAATTAATTCATACCTCCATCTGAGAAGTCTCTAGCGATATTCTTCTTGGGTCTTGAGAGTGACACAGTATCAACCCATTAATATACCAGCTGCAATTCTTCTTCATCGATGTTGCTTGCTCTCATTTTACTTTGAAATATTTATAATTTGCAATCAATTCATATTGTTAAACTTAACATCTCGGGGTTTTGGGGTTTTGGGGTTTTGGGGTTTTGGGGTTTTGGGG